CAGGCGCGTTGCGCGTCACAACGGGCACGTCACAACGGGCTCGTTGCGCGTCACAACGGGCGCGTTGCGCGCTGTGTGAAAACGCGGTGTGTGAAAACGCGCTAAGTGAGGACTTAACGTGCTTGTGTGAATCAATCTCTGCTGCATCCACTCTAGTGCGGGCAAGAATCAGAGGTGCAAGGAAAAAATTGGTTTGGACACTGCACTACAATCCTGGCAACTTGGGTTCAATTTTTGATCATACAACAAAGCAAAAAGGGTTCACGAACCCTGTCTGGGCCTCTCATAGGTCAAGCCAGCCTAAAATGTGTAAGTTGTACAGTGTGAGTTGTACAGTGTGTGGTTCTGGGAAGACAAAGGTGGCCAGGAGTGGAGCTGACAAACCGGCCTCTTCATGTGCAATACCACACCTAATCGGTGTCCACAAAACAAAACAGATTCCAGCAGCCTACAAGGCTGCATGTCATACACAACGATGTCTGAAAACAACACGTGCTACAGAATGCATCAGCTGTGTAATCATTACAGCTGTAAATTAAATGTATCTTTGCATTTGAAATTTGGAACCATGTAGGTAGCTCATTGACGACCTGTGAACAAAAGCAACGTCTGTTCAGAACTTGAGAAGTCGGCACTGTTTTGGTGTTCAGTAAAAATGTAAAGGTTAACAATCATCAAAGACAGTTGGCTGCCATTCCAAAACCAAATTCCATTTTCCCTCAAAGCTGTTCAATCTACTTAAAGTCTTTTATTACCTTAATGTGAGCAATATTTGGACAAATTTGTACAGAATTGCACAACGATAACCGGAGCTCACTCAGAAGGGTGCGGAGTAAAAGGAGCCTTTTCTTTTATGCTGGAAAAGGCCTTTTTAGCGAAAGCGGTAAGTGCAAACAACAACATCTACGCATAAATATAGACCAAACACAAATTGATGCCTGAATTACCCACTGGCATTAGCAACGATTGATGTTTTGATTGTTTAAACCACTAATAAGGATCTCTGTAAAGACAGCTCGGCATTACAATTAACATGTTGGAAAACATGACGTGCATAATAAAAAAAGCATTGCGCGAAATTGTAATAACAGACTGCAAGAAACGCACGCACGCAAGCGTCGTAATGGGGGAAGCCGTGCATCACTGTGGTTCAAAATCAGAATATTTTTTTTTTATCCTGGAGGAATCTTATAAGCCATACAGCGCACTTTTTCACAGATATCCAGTAGTAGAAAAAACACGATAGAAGTGCAAAGTACAAGGTCAAAAAAAATCACCCAAACACATACAAATAAAACTAAACCATCCCCCATCCTACCAGGCAAAGCCCACCGAGGTATCAACTTATTGTTCAGAAGCGACCTGGACCACCACAAGTGATAGCCCAACAAAGTGGCCCCATCATTTGGACATTTAGTTCTATTCGGTAAAGTCACGTAGGTAAAAATAAAATAATACGTGACTTTACCGAATAGAACCAAAGCGTATGGATCCTTGCAGTCACGAAAGCTTCAAATCTAGAATTTGGACATTTCTCGCACCGATATAATCGAAATAATCTCAATCTATTTGCTTCGGCACAACTCCACCTCAAAATGCCTGCGAGCTTTCCAACTAACTGCAATAAAACGGTTTCACAACTTGTGCCCAGGATTTCCCTTCAGCGCAGCCCTCATCCATAGGAATACAGAGGGCGCTCTGCGGGGTAAGGAGTGTGCTTCGCAAACGATGGCGTACTTGCTTTGACATTTGCAGCAGGGTTCCTTCCGTCGTTGCTGAATGTGAAGCGTTGTTATCCAAGACCGACAAAGCCCACTTATCGCGGGACGAGTTACGCTTATTTTGGACTTAAAACACTCCACAATTTTGACAGTGTAAATTGGGCCTACGAGTAAAACAGAGACTGCATTCGTGATGTTAATGGGCAGTAGACCTATAGAGACTGTCAACTTTTATTTATGAATGTGGCCACTGAGATTCTGCTAATTCTGTGGTACATCAGAAACAAGGCTCTTGGCTTTAGGCCACCAAGAATTACAGCCGATCAAGGCAAACCATCATTGCCCGACTCGGGTCTGTTCCACGTGTAGCAATCGTGAATGCCGTCGCGCTAATTCAGTAAATCAAGCTTCCGATTTGACGGGACAGGAGAAAGTTTGTTTTCATGAAATGTTGAATCCTACTTGTCAGCAGGATGTGCGCTGCATTTGAGCAATTCACTTTCCCACATTTGTGCACGGCATGACATTGTGAATATAAACATGTGTAAATTCAATAAGCGCATTTAATCTAAAATAAATCCTGTCAATTCCACGTGTAACCATTTACTTCTTCCCTGAGATTTGGTGCCGTTATAACGCGGGGGTGCGATTCCAATTCAATAACACATTATTGTTATTGGTATTATTATTTTATTTGAATTATTTCTGATATTGTCAACTCCTTTCAATTAAATATAACATTAACATATTTGCATGTAATTTGTATAAGTAAATAATGAATAACTATACGCCTAACGTCAATGATTTGTGAAATTTTCAAAGATGATGAATGGGAGTCCTATTACAATGTACCGGGCCCAGAGACGATGCTATATAGGCTTGAGCATCAATCGTCTGTTGGCCCTGCTATTCGCACCCTACAGCTGTGGGGAAAAAAAACTGCATTTCCTGACTCCTCAACCGTCGTGGGAAGTTGTGGGATAGCGTGGCAAGTCGTGGGATAGCGTGGTATAGCGTGGGAAGTCGTGGGATAGCGTGGGAAGTCGTGGGATAGCGTGGGAAGTCGTGGGATAGCGTGGGAAGTCGTGGGATAGCGTGGCAAGTCGTGGGATAGCGTGGTATAGCGTGGGAAGTAGTGGGATAGCGTGAGAAGTCGTGGGATAGCGTGGGAAGTCGTGGGATAGCGTGAGAAGTCGTGGGAAGTAGTGGGATAGTGTGGGATAGTGTGGGATAGCATGGGAGAGCGTGGGAAGTCGTGGGAAGTGGTGGGATAGCGTGGGAGGTCGAGAGAAGTCGTGGGAAGTCGTGGGAAGTCGTGGGATAGCGTGGGAAGTCGTGGGATAGCGTGGGATAGCGTGGGAAGTCGTGGGATAGCGTGGGAAGTCGTGAGAAGTCGTGGGATAGCGTGGGAAGTCGTGGGATAGCGTGGGAAGTCGTGGGAAGTCGTGGGATAGCGTGGGAAGTCGTGGGATAGCGTGGGATAGCGTGGGAAGTCGTGGGATACCGTGGGAAGTCGTGAGAAGTCGTGGGATAGCGTGGGAAGTAGTGGGAAGTCGTGGGAAGTCGTGAGATGTCGTGGGATAGCGTGGGAAGTCGTGGGATAGGGTGGGAAGTCGTGGGATAGCGTGGGAAGTCGTGGGATAGCGTGGGATAGCGTGGGACGTCGTGAGAAGTCGTGGGATAGCGTGGGAAGTCGTGGGAAGTCGTGGGAAGTCATGGGATAGTGTGAGAAGTCGTGGAAAGTCGTGGGATAACGTGGTAGGTCGTGGGAAGTCGTGGGATAGAAGTCGTGGGAGGTCGTGGCAGAACTGCGGTCCTGTGGCAGCTTACGGTTTTCACGTTAAATGTCCCGCGACTGCGATTCAAAAAGGGAGAGATGCAGAGAATCCGGCTGCAATGAGCAGCATCGCGTGACGAGGAATGCCCCAATACCACGGCACCACGGAGGAAGCTGTGCCCGGCGCTAAGTATGGCAGGGAGCGTAAACCTGGCAGCATATAGAGTACAGGACAATTCACGATTTTGCTGGACTGCTATCCAGCAGCAGCCTACAACATTCTGGACATGCATGGCGGCTACCCCTTCGAGTACTATCCAGGCCTAAACTCTGCTTAGCTTCTTTAATCTGACAGGACCGGCCCAATTCCAGTTGATTTGGGTAATAGAAAATCAATATTCATCACGACTGTGTTCAATTACTGTACTTAACTAATGTACAAAGTTACAAACATTGCATTACACATAGGGCCAATTCAAAATGCAGTACTGTAAAGTACTGTGTGATGAACTTCTTTCGCACCGTACGTAGACAACCATCATTCGCAACAGTGTTGTAACAAAGACAAAGATCCCCCGTGTAGCCTTAACAGACTGTCGGGGCAAGTGCTGTTAGCGAGCAGCACCTATGAAGGCCGGCACTGTGGCACACGAGGGGGTGGGTGGCCAACACCACGCCCGGCCGCCTTTGTCTCCCCAGTGGCGATGTTTACTACACACCGCACCAGGTACTCATTTGAGGCTGAGTCGACCTAGGAGAGGCCCGGGACCGGTTCAAATAATCGTCACCGGTGGTGGCCGTGAGCGGGAATTGCAATCGGGTCGGCGGATTCGTAGCGCAGCGCGCTAACCACTACACCACCGCTCCCCACAAGTGTTGTACATACACACATACACACACACACACACGCGTGCGTGTCTATAACAAAGACATACGCACAACACAAAAGCACTAAGCACGCTGCTGTAACAGCGTCAGACACCGCCAGAAGAAGTCAGAAGGTGACAATCGGTCATCGCACGGCACTGCGGTAAAAAAAAATCGCATTCGATGCAAATGTGGTAGAGTCGACCAAGTGTCCCGTGGGCAAAGATCGGTCCCAGGTCGCTTTTAGACGACTCGGGGTCAAGTCTGACAACAATGCCTGTGGTTGTCAAGTGGAGGACTCCCCCCCCCCCCACCGTGTCAGTCAAATCAACACACGAACAGACTGGGTTGACGTCTCTGCTCGAGATCAGAAGAGTACAGTAACAAGCCGGATTAACAGAAGGGGAGCCCAGCTCCGACCAGCTGAGCAATCTGGCTAGCCGCATGACTAGTGAAATACAATATAAATACAAGATCAAAACAACCCTGTAAGACATGTAGAGCACACGTAACGTGTTTAATGCGTTTACTCTCCTCGAAAGACTTAGGAAATAAAATACAGATCAAAAACAAATACGTGTACCGTGTTATATGTATTGTATTTTGTGTTGTACTGTGTGTGGTTGTGTACTCACCATCGAAGTGTTACTGATGCCCTCTGAGAAGGCAAAGGCACAATGATGGAGTACCAGAAAGCAAGAAGCACAGCAAGAGATTCAAATAAAGCTTGAAAAGACAAAATAGAGAGACGGAGAAAGAACAGGCTGAGTTGGGGACACAGCTAAAAAAAACGCAGAGGATGAAAATAAAATACTGTACTGAGCACGACACAGGGCTGCAGAGAGCTACGCATAGCAGCAGAGCGCGTCGCGAAACACTGAGTGGGTGGTGTGCAGCCACGTGCTCTAACCCCGGAGCCACGTGGTCTAACCCTGAAGCCACGTGGCCTAACGCCGCCGGTGCCACGTGGTCGAACGCCGCCGGTGCCACGTGGTCTAACCCCGGAGCCACGTGCTCTAACCCCGGAGCCACGTGGTCTAACCCTGGAGCCACGTGCTCTAACCCTGGAGCCACGTGCTCTAACCCCGGAGCCACGTGCTCTAACCCCGGAGCCACGTGCTCTAACCCCGGAGCCACGTGCTCTAACCCCGGAGCCACGTGCTCTAACCCCGGAGCCACGTGCTCTAACCCCGGAGCCACGTGCTCTAACCCCTGAGCCACGTGCTCTAACCCCGGAGCCACGTGCTCTAACCCCGGAGCCACGTGGTCTAACCCCGGAGCCACGTGCTCTAACCCTGGAGCCACGTGCTCTAACCCTGGAGCCACGTGCTCTAACCCCGGAGCCACATGCTCTAACCCTGGAGCCACGTGCTCTAACCCCGGAGCCACGTGGCCTAACCCCGGAGCCACGTGGCCTAACCCCGGAGCCACGTGCTCTAACCCCAGAGCCACGTGCTCTAACCCCGGAGCCACGTGCTCTAAGTGGTGTGGCAGGATGCGCTGAATTGTTGTTGCCATTACTAAGGCATCGGTTCAGCTAAATGTGAATTCCAGTTAATCGGCATCTGGCTATCCCCGGTTTTCCTGCATTTGGCACAGCAGTGTGAATAAGGCCCGCAACGGTACCTCTGCCCAATAACTCATAGTCGGCTCATTAACTAGCATGCCTTCACCTGCTGAACCGTTTTAACCAGGGCTGTTCAATAATTGGGTACACCCTGTCTGGGATTTGAACTTATGTTTCATGATTGGAAGCCTGATGCTCTACCAAACTATTTCCATTTTTTTAGGACCATGGAAAACTAAGATTGACAATCCAACATCACTTTATGGTGCAAAAACTCCCATTATATTTTGTGACAAAATGTAAATATTGTATATCTCTGTCCAGACATATGCTGAGGTTACTTAATGAATAATCGCGTTGTCACTGGTGAGGCACTGTGAACTATAGATGTACTTTATATTAATTGAACATTACATGAAGTATGTGATATACGATTATCTGGACTACATGGCCTCCACTTTTTACTTCTAAAACTATGGCACCAAACAACAGCAAGTTACATTTAATTTTACCAAAAAATTAAATCACAGATATTAACGAAAACCTGCGTTTTAAGTTAGCACTTGCAAAATTTCGATTTAAAGCTTTCGTGACTGCAATGATTCATCTTCTTTGGTTCTTTCGGTAAAGTCACGTAGAATGAGAATAAAATAATAAATTGATAAAATAAAATAACACAATAATATTCTCACGACGTTTCGGCCACAACACAAGCGGCCTTCATCCAGCGCTGTCCTACCAGTCTCGTCCCTTCACCTGATGAAGGCCGCTTGTGTTGTGGCCGAAACGTCGTGAGAATATTATTGTGTTATTTTATTTTATCAATTTATTATTTTATTCTCATTCTACGTGACTTTACCGAAAGAACCAAAGAAAATAGCACTTGCAAGTTTCACAAAAAAGTTAAGTAGCTGCTTCAAACATTATTCAGATGCTCATCATCAGCACTCTCCACTCTCCAGACATTGACACTCACCATTCACTACTCACCACACACTCAGACTCAGTACATTTATCCTCGAGAAATACGATCAGCTATGGAGCTCTTTTTCACAGTCGTCCAAGCAGGAGGCTCTTGCTTGGGACGTTTGCCCACTTGTTTTTGTTATTTGTAGGTGTAAAACACGATTGCCTGGAAAAATGCCACACAAACATGACAGAAATACCCACTCTGTGCACTGCCTCCTGCAGGCACCTCAAAGCCCAGAACATGGTGACGGTTCTCAATTCCTATGCCGCATACCAACTTCATCTCCACATCACTCTCTTCAAGGTGGTCAGCACCATACCCGGAGAAGTGGGGCCAAGCTTTACCCTGAAAAAAAATATTATTACTACACTTGATTACCCAGGCTGGACTTAGTCTGGGTAATCAGCCTGGATATGAGTCTCAATATTTCTTTCTTCCCAATTTTCCACAGCAGGGGCAAATGTTGCGGTGTGTAATCCCAATTGAGAAATTTGCAAGTAACTTTTCAGCGTTGGGATGTTTTCAACCAATACCAGTTACATCGTATGTTTTGTTATTATGGGAGGAAAACCTGAGTACCTAGAGAAAGCCCAAGCAGAATGGTGGGAAACTGTACAAACTCCACGCCAACAGGTACCAGTCAAGAATTGAACGCAGGCCTTTCCTGCGACGAGACGCAATGGTTATTACTGCGACACTCTGCTGCCCAATATCACTTTGTCCGACTTTGATAAACATATACGCCCAAGCAGAGGTCAACCACGGTGACACTTAAGTAGTCGGTGATAACGCATAAAACACAGTACGGTACATGTAAATCAGCGTCACTCATGCAGACAGACATGCTCCGTTGCGTTGGCTGCTGTTATTTTGCATGCTGTTATGCTCTTGCAGTCTATTGTGATACCATCAGCGTGTGAGACAGGCATTACTTTCCAAGTTAAATACCGAACCAACGTTAAGTGACATGGCATCATTTAAATTAAGTGCAGACACTTCCGCTAAGTGACCGCCTTTTTAAGTAAGTCACACTTGGGGTGGCCGGGTTGCCTGGATATGTTGGCCTTAATTAAACACCAAGGTTGCATTAATATGATGATGCATTGTGAGAACCTCACCAAATAATAGTACACCTGCCATCCTGTCACAGGGTAGAGTCCATGAGAAAACTACAAAACCATCTGAACAATGGTCGTGCTATGATTATTTTTGTAAATGTCATCTAATTAGAACAAACAATACATCAACACTACATTATACATATACACCTCAAAGCAGCTCTTGCTGTACATATTATGATTGCATAATCCCTGACGCGGCATATTGCTTTCGAAGGACGAGACAAGTCAATGTAAATATTAAATAATATTTGAAACTACTCTCCGATTAATATAAAAGGGTAAACAAATAGATTGCAGTCTTGTCCATTCACTGTTAGATAAAAAGCCTCGTTTTGACCATAGCAGCCATGGGAAATGTTTGACCACATTTCCGCACGCTGGTTACTATGGGTTGGTGAAGGGGGTATCAGGACTGGCTCAGATATCACTCGGCACGGAAGTTTGCCATGGCCGGGAATTGAACTCGAGGTTTGCCGGGTTCATAGTGCGGTGCATAACCTTTGCACAACCACGCCCCCTAACAAGCAAAAGAGATAATTAAGAATGCCATATTTGATGGAACCTAGAATAAGATATCTGTAAAATTAAACACATTCATCAGAATTCGACTTGGCCTAATGTAGACGACTTCTACTCATGCAGAAATCGACTCATGTAGAATTTGTGTTCTAATAATGCGTTAAATGGCGACGTGGCTTTGTGCTGCAGTACAGCCCAAAAGATAAACCTGCACACGCGCGTAATTTAAAACACGACTGCCATAAACATTCAAAGCGCACACCTACACACTGAACATGTATACTACAAATGGCATACACAGCACGCACAGTTCAGTAATTATAAAGCACACGTGCTCTCACCATTACCAGTCAGACAAAGCACACTTGTGCATTTCTTTTAATTGACAACACATGTATGCAGTGAAAAAGATTGATATTGAACAGGTACACATCGTAAGCTGCTTAAATTCACGGCAAAACTACTCGCAGGACATAGGCGTGCAGAGACAGAGAACACAGACCTTTCCTGTCTGCACACATGTAGCATCTACATAATTGAGGTCACAGGTCACACTCCAGGAAGAGAATCACTGGGTGACCAATCAGGAGGAGAGAAAAATGTATCCACTTATATACCAATATATGTCTGTTCTTGTTCTGTGCCCAAAAAATCGAGATACATTTATTTAAAAAGGACGTGTAAATGTTTGTACTGGTCTTGAGTGGGATGAAAAAACAACATATAATTTTATACAGGTTGTTTTCATCTTCCAATTCCTCTTTACCTAAACATCACTTATTGGATCAAACGAGATGAATGCAAATAACATTCCAATGTTTCTCATCTGCTTAAGGCCAAGTATCATTCATAACTCTGAAGCATTAAGTTGATGTTACAAATAATCTGCAAACAAGCTTCATTATTTTCAAAAAAAATTAGACCAATACAATTCTGCCACTGTATTCTGTTACGGTAATGATTGACGCATTTTGATTAACCAGGTGAAAGCTGATATACATTAACACTCTCTGGAGAGCTGAGTAACTGTCATCACATAGGGCGTATTGGTCACTATTACAGTAATTAAGTTCAGATTTTAGTTTTGAGCTTCCACATTGGCACACGACAGCCAACTCTTGCACATGGTTGAACATCCACTTCATACTAGGTGGTGCACAATGCACCTTGCTTTATTGCGAGCATAATTCTCGACTGTAATTGATGCCCCCAAAGGATCATCACATGCCTAAGACCATCCACTTCATGCCTCGAAGCTTCTCCAGATGTTCATCTCTCCGCAATGAAAAATATGCACATCCATCCCTCCACAGCCCCAAATTACCAATCATGACCACCCCTCCCCGCATTGCCGAATTTACATAATCATCCCGAGAAAGCATCAGCAATGCATAATCTTCCCTCTTCAACTCCACACTTGCACCCACAATAATCTCTCCACACTTGCCACATTTTCATGATCATATTTCCACACCCCCCCAAATGCCTTCAGGCCAAGAGACAACAACCCATCACTGGATCATCAACAGGTGCAGTAGCAGAAACCTCTGGAATAAACAAACATCATTCGAGACCCCTACATCAAACCTCCTCCTGGCTTTGACACTCCTCCAAGACACTGCTGTACCATCATCAACCGCATCAGAACACCAACAAACCAATGCGCACATCTCCATCGCAACGGTGGACCATACAGTTAACCCACAGAGACTCACAGAGATTCACTAAAATACAGACACAGCGATACGCAGAGACGCGCATATATATACGCACAGACCCAGAGAGACACATTAAAGCTACAGCACAGGAGTACAAATGTGGCCATGCAAACAAAATTATGGACCGTATGGGTTGGAACAGCAAAAACGACACCAACGAAGCCCTCCATCATCGTGGCTTAGCAGACCTCTCGACACTGCCACCAGGCTCCCGAACGTCCCGCTGCCACCGCACAGCAACAGGACGGAATAAACCCACCTCTCTCCACTTAACTCGCCGCAGCGTCTTGTGCAGCGGCCACCAACAAAGCCACCGGTTACGAAGATTTCGCCGTTACGTAACCCGCGGCTCCCACACGTGGTCACGTAGCGGCTCCCCATACGCGGTCACGTAGCGGCTCCCCATACGCGGCGTATAAGAAGACTCCGTGTCCCAACCGCCCAGCAGGCCACGGAATTTACACAACATGAGTGCCAGTCTGTGTCTGTGTGTGTGCGCAGAGGATTCACGTCCACATTTACATATCCACGACAGCGAGGAAGCCAGACACAGGCGGAGCGGGTTATGCGTGTCGGCCGTCACGGACAAGCGGGCCGCTTAGGCAGGCGTACTGACAGGAAATCAGGCAGCCCAACAAGCTTGTGTGTATGTCTCTGTACGTTGGGCTTCTTGAGCACCGTACGTGCTAATACGTGTTGACCGACAGACGGTAAGACAGGCCGACGGGCAGAAAGGCAGACACACACACAGTCATCTACACACACAGTCACCTACACACACACACAGTCACACAGTCACCTACACACACACAGTCACCTACACACACACAGTCACCTACACACACACACAGTCACCTACACACACACACACAGTCACCTACACACACACACACAGTCACCTACACACACACACAGTCACCTACACACACACAGACTGGAGAAGACAGCACAGACAATGAACCGTGGACTGTACCGCTGTACGTGAAATGTCTGCTATTGTAGAGGGTTTGAAACACACTGTGCCGGATGTAGACACACAAACTACACATTTGTACAATCGTACGCCTACAGATGCAGATACACACATATCGTGTGCACACATTGTACATACAGTACACATTCCATCTCACACTAACAATGACACACACTGACACACTCACACACCATCACACACCATCACTAACACTCATACACCATCACACACACTCACAATAGCACACACTCACAATAACACACACACCATCACTAACAATAACAATAACAAAGATCCCCCGTATAGCCTTAACAGACTGTA